CTCTACGCCGACCAAGGCAAGCTAGCTGAGGCGGAGAAGATGTACCTTCGGGCGCTGTAAGGCTACGAAGAGGCTCTTGGCATTAAGCTTGTATCGTCGTATCTACTAGCGATAAACACTATATTTGCCTTCGGTAACCTCTATTCGCGGACGGATCGCAAGGACATGGCGAAAGAAATGTATTCTCGAGCATTATCTGGATATGCCGCCATTCAAGGACCTTCCTCGAGATAGTGTCTCGAAATTGAAGGTCGACTGCAAGCGTTGCAATCTACGTCAGCTGAGCCCGCCGAGACTCTATGTGCTATCGAGACCAGAGCAACGGGGCCAAGATCTCGTCTACGAAGAGTTTTCCGCAGACTAAGGATATAACCAAAAATGGGATCACTAATCCAAGACAAAATTTTTTCGTTGAGGAAATCCATGGTACTGACCTAGAGCAGGGCTAGGGAAATGGAGTAGCATGATGGAAGCTGCGGTACAGTACACAGTAGCACAGAGGCTTCCTTATCGGGCAAGCAAGATCCACGCCATACTGCGGTCTCTGGTCGAAATATGCCATGTTGTGATTTGCTGTACGGTACCAAAGTCAGCGCTACGCTCCATATACAGTACTGTCAAATTTCAGTAGGTGCGCATTATCGTAGGAAGTCTTTACAACTGCCTTACCAACCACGTAAAACCGAGGCTCATAAGCGCCATTCATCATTGAGTGAAAGATTTAGAGCAAACTAATACATATTTGGCCAGAGATGTTCCGCTTATTCCTTAGTCTTTTACGGAAGAGAGTTGTAGTGTGTCAGCAAGGGGGAGGGCGGTTTCGGGAAGCTCTGTAGCAACGCACTGAGTACTTTCAGAGTCTTGCAATAGGGATCTAGGTAACGCCAGGGGTCAAGCTTCACCACTTCCAGCCCTTAGCGTCAAGTGATCGAGGAGCTGTTGAACATTCCTAGATCAAATGGCAAATGGCAGGGCAGATCGACCCCAAAGTGTTCGCTGATGCGGCATTACTTAATGCGTTCTCAGCTGTTTCTGTCGCCACCCGCCCAGATCCCCTCAGTCTGGGACGGTTGCGGCCAATCAGTACCCCCCTTCATCGAGTGTCGGGTTGCGGCTGTCGACAGCCCCTTCCATCTTGCGTCGAGTTACGGTCAATCTACCGACGCATGAGCTTACGGTACGGCTTTCCTCGGCTCTGACGCGGACGCCAAATGTGGAGAGAGTCATAATAGTGACAAATCTTCACAATTATCTCGAAGGCACCCTATTCGCGAGCATGTTTCTGGATGTTAAGTTGTACTGTGGCGAAGCCTTCTGCCATGTCTTCCGTATTTTATCTTTCGCAGATATTACTATAAGATCCGAGAACTTATGGTGGTACTGCTTCGGATCCAGCTCAAGAATGCAGAGGTCTGAATGGAGAACTGTCTCAAAGACCATCACTGTTGGGTTTCCGCCACTGTCGCACCGTTCTCCGAGGCGTTCGAGTCTTGTGCTTTCGGTAGTAGACGAGATTAACGGTGATGAAGCTCAGGGCTAAGTAGCAGACTTACATACTTGTATGATATTGGCACAATGTCACTTTGTGTTCCCCATTGATTGAATCACCTTTTTATTCATCTTTTCTCAGAACTCGACGGATGAGAAATGGCACGGTGCTACAAGGTGTTAAGCAAGGGTATTAGCTTACTATGGCCGAAAAATGCACCCTTGAGCTGACATGCTCCATTTCTCTGGTCCACACCATTATCAGAGTATCAAAATTCCATGTGTAGAGACGGAGCTGGAAGGGAAGATATAGTCAGTCACAGAATGGAGGTCGATACGAACGACACTGAAAAAGGTCATCATATCGAGGGACGTTATCAATAAATCATAACGGCCTCAGTGAGCTCAGAGGACGAGGCCGGGACCGGCTGTGTTTTGGCATCTTCGCCGTGCATGGTATATGAAGTCGGGAGGCTTACGGGGCGTGATGTCAAATCCACGTGGTTACTTCCTTAGCAAGTTCGTCGGATATACTGTAACAACATTTATCGTGCTATATAACAAGACCAAGTCAGGTAAGATTTCCAAACTCTGTAAATCGCGCGGCGTTATTGATCGATTGTTCTTATCATTCGTGCACAGTTCGGCATTGAAAATTTCGTACTTCTAAAAATTTCCTCGTCATGCGAACCAGCCGAGCACGACTGGAGGATACAAAGTTCGAAACGGAAAGGCGCCGGCAACATCGAGGGACCGCACGTGTTTCTCTTGATATTCTGAAGTATCATTTCGAGGCTCATGAGCAACTTGATAAAGAAAACATTGACCGTCTGAAGGGTATCTATCGACGCGAAAGATGTCGACCACAATTCATCAACAATCGTATTTTGGTCGAAATTGATGAAAGGTGTTTCGAGGCGGCCCTCGCTCTTTCAGGTGTGGCAGCATCAGAGCTGCTCGGCCCCCGAAGAGATGACTACCCGGAGCTTCGATTTCCTACTGGTGCAGAAGTCATCTGCCTCCATGGAAAGCACCGTATCCAAGCCGGTCGCGAATTTTTGTCTCCTCGGGACAAATGGTGGATCGCTGACATCTACCTTGGGGGTGAGTTACCGAGCTTCACGGTGAACGCTGCGGACTGATGTGCCGGCCAGGTTTGTCGACGGATGTCAAGCGCTGCCTCGTCGAGGAATACGCGAACGAAAGCATCCCCACGGACGGAATCATTTTCTACAAGATCCGTCAGTACCACTTTCAGCGCAACTTCAGCTTTGAATCGCGATGGTGGGCTCGCCTCCGAGGTTGCCGGAGTCGTAATTTGAAAGCACTGTTAAAGCACCCTGAAATCACAGCAGCATTCGACGCTCTGCTCGATGTATCCGGCCTATGGGGCGGGATGTTACTCACAACGCTTCACAAGGTGCTGGGACTGAAGTCTGACGACGTAAGTGGTGCTACCAAACATTAACTTAGCATAGACCGACTTGTCGCAGGAGATACTGAACTATCTTGAACACGTCCGACGATTTTGGCACGATTTGGTTGATGGTGAACCCAGTGCCATGCAAAGGTTTGATCATCGAGACGTGAAGGCGCTGGAGCTCCGAGCTCCAGGTGTTTCCACACTTGACGCGGAGGAGATTGAAGCCCAAATCCATGCTGGCCGAATTCTGAGAGCCTTCAGTGAGGAGCAGCGACGGCACATCTTTCAACGGTTATGCGGATTTAAGTACCTGATCCCATCCCTGCATACATTTTTCCGGGATGTCACCTACTGGGAGGCATGCATCGGGAGCGTCAAGCACCTGATGCCGATATCGCGCCGCGACACGATCCTATCGGCCTTTGAAGGCCGATTTAGCGCCACCAATCAACACGATGACCGAGTGGTGATTCAAGTGGGTGAGTCACGGTTTGAAACAGTTCAAGGCCCGCACGACACACAGATAGACCTCGGTTTCCGTCAGATCATCGCCTTTGCCATGAGACACTTTGTCGAAATCCCACAGGAACCCATCAGTGACGATGTGACCGTCAGACCTCGTGTGAAGGCTAATCGAGTCACACTACGCCAGTTCGCGGAATTGGCCATCCGTGTCGGGTTCGAGTCACCTGAAATTCGCCGGCTTTTGGATACGGAAGAATTACTGGGATCTCCCATTGCTCCGGAGTTGTCCAGGCCATTACTCGTAACTTCAGGCCCTGGTGAAAAGCTGCAACGAAGATGTGGTTTACCCAACTTGGACAATTTTCAGAACGATCAGAATTTTCTATTCCTTCACCACCTGCACAACCAGCAAGATGGGAGCGGCGAAGGCATCACGTCATTTTTCGTGCTCAGATCCTTTTATTTCGCTTTCATGGGACCTTCGGATTTCTTGGACGACTTGTTGGCCCAGGTATTGAATCAATTAGTGACTTCTCACCATAGCATTGATGCCGCTGAGCAGCATTCTCGGCAGGAACGGGAGGAACAAGCACGGGAGGAGCAACGTGAGCAGGAACAAGCCCGACAGGAACTAGCCCGACAGGAGCAAGCACGACAAGAGCAACGTGAACAAGAGCAACGTGAACAAGAGCAACGTGAACAAGAGCAACGTGAGCAGGAACAACGTGAGCAGGAACAAGCCCGACAGGAGCAACGTGAGCAGGAGCAACGTGAGCAAGAGCAACGTGAACAAGAGCAACGTGAACAAGAGCAACGTGAACAAGAGCAACGTGAGCAGGAACAACGTGAACTG